CACTGATTGACAAACAAAAATCAGAATTATATGTAAATGAAAATGACATTCAGTCTAAAGTTAGAAATGAATCAAAATTAAATAAAAAGAGTTTTGTGATCTAGACAATAAAACTTAAAAGTACTATTGACGTGTATTATTTTTATTAAAATAAACATTGCTGGTATTTTAAAATGAAACTGTTGAATCCTAAATTATTTTTATTTTTATTTTTCGACCACCCAATGCATTTTTTTGAGACAGAAAATCGTAAACCAAAAAAAATAAAAACTTTGGCCTAACTTCCCTGCTTTCCTTTCATTGTGTGCAAGACATTGAAATGTTTGGAAAATAATTTGCCAATAGGCTTGCCAAACATTTTCCCTGTTCAGATACATAGCTGGCTCTGGCACTTGCAACCACTGTTTACAATGTGGTTTGAGATGACGCATGTTGTTTGTCACACACGCACTGACCCTCCAGTGAATACAGCCTCAAATCTAGTGAATATTTAGTGTTGTGAACCATTTGTTTTTGTATAGATTAAATAAGGACTATAAAAACAGATTATATAATAACTAGATTTACAGATGGCATTTAGCAATGTACTAGATTTAACCGTGTTCTGCCAAAGGTGCTAAACTGAATACTCAGCCAAATGTAATACATTTACAGTAATTTGTAAACATCAATGACATGTTTTTATTATTCCTGCAGAAAAGTGATGTAGTGCAATATACAGGTGCATCAAGAAGAGAATTATTACTATTACTAGACATTACAATGAACATTACTATTACAATGAAAAGTGAAAAAAATATCAAAAAAGCTTGTTGAGATAACAAATTTAAAATCTGTTAACAATATAAAGCTACATAGTTCAAGTCAATGAAAAGGTTTCTCTTATCTCCTCATACTACATGCATTGACTAGAAATAAAGTGATCTAACTATGAGAAGCAAATTACTACATGTGTATTTATATATACCCTAAAATTCATTGACCAGAATGGAAATCAATGAGATTTATGTAAAGACTAAAACCAATCCCAGCCCTCTAAGTCTATGATCCATTTTAAAAAAGGTGATCCTTTGTTTCAATTCAATATCTTGATTTATATCATCAATGTTTATTCTATACTTTGAAGTTTTTCCAAATATTTCATCCACAGATTTTTAGAAAAATGTCACATTTCATCCCCCCCTTACATGTATTTTTAATTAATCTTGTAAAAAGGTATACCGATCCCAATGCATTTTCATAGTACTTAAATATCAGTTTGTGTGGTAACTGAATAACATACAATTTCAAAGTACAGTATCATGAGCTCATAAACATATATAAATGCTAATTATCAACACCCCACCTCTCAAAATGCAAAAGACATTAGTTAAATTAAACTGTCCATGGTATTTTTTGCAAAGTAGGTCAAAGGTCAAGGTCAAGTGAATTGTAATGCTGGTATTTTTCATGTTTTATGACAATCAGTGCATATGCTAAACAGCATAGGCTTAATACCTCTTAAATGTCAAAAATATGATGTATATTGGCACTATCCACTTTTTTGTAAAGTATGTCAAAGGTCAAGGGTCGCGAGGATGGTAACCATGGACATGCACAAAAGTCATAGTGCCAATTAAGCAATATATGAGCAAAATATCAAGTCCATATCTCTTACAGTTCTTGAGATGTATGTGTGACAGACGGACAGACAGACGCCGGATAAAGTGATCCCTCAGTGCCGCTCTGCAGGCGACACAATAAAGGTACATAGTATTCTAGACCTGGATGAAAACTTCTCACATCATATGGCCACACAACAAAGATCACTCTTCAAAAGGTTAAATTAAGCAGCCAATCAAAACCAAAGTGATATGAGCATGAAAAATATTTGTATAATTTATGTCAAATGTATTTTTTTCTTCTTCATTGCAGTTGATATTTTAATTATTGTACATGTAGTGATCATTTTGGACAATATCTTCATATATGTCTTCTTAAATCGATGCGTAAAACAACGCATGCAATGCTACCTCTTTTGAGATCTGAATCTCCCCCTTTTTCATCACAGTAGAGTAACATGTATGCTGTACATAAATAATAGGTGCTAAAATCTTATCAGGTAAATGTATTCAACTACAGTTTCAGCACCTTATAAAATTGTGAAATATAACGTCACAATCATGTTAAGTTTAACGTTGCCTACATAATGTCAAGAGAATGATGACATGATGTAACTTGTTTATAATTTCAGTTCTACTGATGAGTCTGCATGCATTGATTGAATTATAGTGGATTAAAGTTTAAGTTTTTCCTTTAAATTTGGAGTTTATATACAGCACAACAGGTATTTTCTGCAGTTGGAAATTTTTGTAAATTGACCCTTGAAAGGTAGCAAATTAGTTTCTGCGTTTTCAATTTCTGCTGTTGCATTATACATGTACTGCAAAAATTTATTTATGGGATATGCTCATCAAATTTTGAAGATTTGGCAGAACACTGCCATATTTACATTGTATAAATTCATTTAAAAACATATTGATCAAAGATGCATGAAAACTGATACTAAGCTCTATCTTGTAGTTAGTCTTTGTAAATTATTTTCAAATCTTTTTTATACCAATCATCGGTAAGCATTATCCCTTTTTTTTTTTTAAATAAAAAGTTCCGATATACTAGTAACATTAAACCAGGCTGACGTACACACCACTTATAAGACTTGCATGAATAAAATATCTTAATATTGAAGAAATATTTTGCAATTGTAATTTTTGCAGATTTGTCCTATCCACAAAAATTGGACAATCACAGAAAATACCAGTTATATGGTATGTAAGCAATCTTTATCTGGTAGGACAGGAATTTTACATTTTTCTACTCTTCACCTAGAACAAGTATAAACGATTTTGGGTCAAGGTCATGACACATCTCCAAGTCATGAAAAATCTTTAAGTAAAGAATGAGGTTTCAATGTTTTTCCAACATGAAATTAAGACAATGGATTGCCAGATAGACATGATTCATGTATGGTGATAACTAGTGTTATATTTCGCCAAATATACACATGGACAAAAGTATCATACTACCATTTACTTCTCTTAGCCAAAGAATGATCAATAATGTCACACTATAGGACATACAAAAATTTTCATGCTTCACTTTACTTTTTGATAGCATCATTTGATCTCTAAAAATGTAAGAACATCACCAGTAAATTTACAGGTATATTGTCATTCTATTTCAAAAATAGAAAGATATTATATTTTTGAGGAAAATATGCCATATGATTAACTATTCTCTATCTACTGTTTCAAGTTTCATGTAATCTTAATTGACACAATACATTTTTGTTCATTATCGTATTGTGACTTCCATTCACACAAATAATGGACTTTAAAGCATCTGTTTCATCTGTTTTAGCCTTTTATCATCAAACTGTGAATTTGATGCTGTATTAAAGCTTGCAACTCCTGATGAATTGCTTGGCTCAGTTCACCAAATGTTTGATTGTTGGTGTCATTTGACAAACTCTGCAACTGATAATGTCCTAAATGTGCTCAATAGGATTTAAATGCAAACTTCCAGCAGGCTATTATAGAGTTAATTGATTGGCATTGTCATCCATGAACATTACACTTCTAAAAGGATAATTGTTGTAACTGTGAGCATTAAGGTTGCCCCTAACTGTGGTAAGATCCAGTAACCACAACCTTACATTTTAAATGATTCACCACAAAATAGAACCATTTCAACCATTTATTTAGAATCTGCAGATTAGGCTGCTGCCAGACAAGCATTTGTCCATCTGTCATATATAGCAAAATGTGACTATCATCTGATTACCAATGATCTACCCTCCAAGAGGCCAGATCCCAATGATAGTGAGCTTCATACACCACAAGTTCTGCTTTGTGGTTGGGTGTATGCAAAGGTCTCTTTATTGGTCTTTTTGCATGATTATAGCTAAATGACTTTCGTAGATTCCACTGTGACACTGTTCTTAAAAATAAATGAAGTGGTAACCACTCCCTTTTTCAGAACTGAACTATTGGCAAAAAATTGCCCTGAACCAATGTTTTTACAGGTTCTTCTAGATCTTGCACAATGCATTGTCATTTATTAACTGGTTTGAGTTCTTTTTAACAATTCTACTAATTATTGGTTGAATGGTGATGACCTACTTGTACCCAATTTATCTTAATGATATACCTATTTCCTCATTCTAATTGTCATTGGATTGTATTTATGACTTGCAGAGGATCCATATTTTCAGTATGCATGAAAACTAAACTTAATTGTTCCAATTGTATAGGTTCACTAAAGACCCAAAGCACTGTGTACAAACTTGCAATTTTGATGTAGTATGTACAAAAGCCACAAGGGCAATTCTCATCAGATATAGTGGACTACAGACAACTGAATAATGGAACATTATAGAAAGAAATGTACAGAGTGAACTTTATTATATACCCAAGTGTGTATCACTCAATTTTACTGTAGATTTCGTACAATCACGCGACGGTGTGATCCGACTTTCCGGATCACCACACTGCGGTTTTCTGAATCCATATCACCCCTCTCTGAAATTGATGACGTAGTACACAGAAACATGACGTTATTTTTCATGTGCATCAAAAAGTTCCTTGATAAAATGCTTTGTTTAATGGAAAAATCTTATAAAAATTTATCTCAAAAGTTTTTTTTAAAACTATATTTTGCTAGTTGTAAGGGGGATATATAATAAATTTATCATTATAACAGTAACTTGATCCGAAGAGCCGTATCACGTCTCTTGACAGGCGCGGATCATCAGATCAAACTCGACGCTTCGCGTCTTGTTTGATCTGATGATCCGCGCCTGTCAACTCGACGTGATACGACTCTTCGGATCAAGTTACTGTTATAATAATATATATGTATTACTGAATTCAAATTTTTTTGTTTTCAAAGTCCTATAAACTTGATGAATAACCTTGGTGTTGCAATACTTTTTCCATGTATATATAATACTTTTAACACACCTTCTAAATGTTCCTTCTACTCCACAAACACCCATTCCATCTATGATATCCCGGGTCAACCGAAAAGGGACAGTCTCAGGAGTTGGTAAAATCCTACCTTGCTCAAAAGCAATGCCTAAACATACAAAACAAAGTAGAAGTGTTCTTATAGAACTAATACCACTGCTTGGCTACTAAAGACAGAAAATACTTCAAGAACTCTGCCATATTGCCAAAAATGTATTCCAAAGACCTAAATCTTGTTGAGATGTATTAAATCAAAGATTGTAACAACTCTGGTCATGAGCAATCTTCGTGTTTTGTGTTAAGAAAAAATGTAACCATCTAAAGTCCAAGCATTAAAATTCATGGTCCAAATGAACACTTAACTTCTGAGTCATGTGATCTTAGCCTTATACATACAACAATGGCAGAGCTCTTGTATGGCCATAAGCAACCTCTGTGCCAAATATGACCAATGCCCCTCAGTTTCAAGGTTTTATCTCTTATTTTATGTCTGAAGTATCAGACAGATGGACATGATACCAGTATTTCCTCCCTTAACTTGATTTGCACGGAGTACAAAATAATAAAATAAATACATGTAAAAACAAGAGGCCCATGGGCCACATTGCTCACCTAAGTCAATATGGCCCTGCTGTTCTTCATCAACAGATTTCTTCTCCTTTGATCACCTGCTCTAGCCATACCCTATCTCCAGGGAATACACTATCTGAGGATATTTCCATATTCATATAACTAATCATGGCTTTGCTGTTCTTGAAAACAGAATTTAAATGATGTCTGTCTCCCTACCCTGGGTGGGTGGGGGGGGGGGGGGGCATGATTTGAACAAACTTGAATCTACACTACCTGGTGATGCCCCCATGTCTATATGACTGATCATGGCTTTTTCGTTTATGAGAAGAAGATTTTTAAAGATTTTTCCTATATATGTTCAAAGGTAAAACTTTGATCCCCAGTTATGGCCCCACCCTACTACTGGCAGATGACCCCTACTCCCTGGGGTCATGATTTGAACAAATTTGATTCTACACTACCTGAAGATGCCTCTATATCAATATGTATAATTGTGGCTTTGTTGATCTTGAGAAGATTTTTAAAGATTTTTCCTATATCATGTATATATTTCTATGTAAAACTCTGATCCCCCATTGTAGCCCTACCCTATTCCCAGGGGTCATGATTTGAACTAGCTGCAGAACTGTAGCTCTCTGCTTGAGAAAATTCGGACAGATAAACAAGAGAGCTACAGATCCAAGCGTTGTAAAAACCTTCAATTTACGCCGCCGCTTTTTTGTCGCTCGCTTCGGGTTTTATTTCTTGTATTTTATGCTTTCCCCCGCTTTAAGAATAGTATCCGATAATTAACCATATATTTTACTCTTATTCCTGATACTTTATTTACCTTTCAACGGTTCCAAACGGCCGTATGTGGAGTATGGAGTATCAGTTGAAAAAATGCATTCCGATATCCATGATTCATTGATGTCGTCCTGAAATAACACGCCCGAGTTTTATTTATCATATTTCTTTTTTACGTACAAATTGTCTTCTTTATATACAATATTCATGATATTTGAACCTCCTGTATTTTAAATATGTTTTATTTACATTTTCTCGACAAGTGCATGTATGTTCTTTGAGAGGCCTTTTTTCACACGACCCCAATATGGACGTCTGAATATTTTAATCCGACATTTCACAACCGTTAATGGCTGTTTGGGACCTTTGAAAGGTAAAAATAATATTAAGAATAGGAGTAAAAATATATGTTTAATTATCGGATACCATTCTCAAAGCGGGGGAAGGCATAAAATACAAGAAATAATACCCGAAGCGAGTGACAAAAAAGCGGCGGCGTAAATCGAAGGTTTTTACAACGCTTGGATCTGTAGCTCTCTGGTTTATCTGTCCGAATTTGCTCAACCAGAGAGCTACAGTTCTGCAGCTAGATTTGAACAAACTTGAATCTACACTCTCTGAGGATGCTTCCATATCAATACGAATCATTGTGGCTTTGTAGTTTTTGAGAAGAAGATTTTTCCCCATCTATTCATAAGTAAAACTTTGATCCCCCATTGTGCCCCCCCCCCCCCCAGGTCATGATTTGAACAAATCTGATTCTACATTCCATATCAATGTCTTATGGTGGCTTTGTTGTTTTTTAGAAGAAAATTTTCAAAGATTTTTCCTATAGATATATTCCAATGTAAAACTTTCACCCCCCCTTTTGTGGCCCCATTTTACCCCCCCCCCCCCCCCCCCCCGGCCATAATTTGAACAAAATTGAATCTACACTAAATGATGATGCTTCTATACAAGAGGCCCATGGGCCTTGAATCGCTCTTCTGATAAACTGTACAACCTATCACTTCTATTTGAAGCCTCAAAGTATCCTGTATATTTACATAAACCCTTGAAATTCCAATTCACACTCTGAGAACCCAAGATGATTCTAAGCCAATTAGTACCTGAGAGTTGGTCATGGTGACCTGCTTATCACTTGTCATTCTCTGAGGACCCATCAACTAAGTTTGATGATTCTAAGCCAATTAATACCTAAAATATTTTTAAAAATTATAATCATAAAATTTTATAAGTAGGTCAAAGTGACCTACTTTTCAATTGTTTTACTCCAAGGACCCAAGATGCATCAACTGACAGAGTTTGATGATTCTAAGCCAATTAGTACCTGTAATATTTAATTAAAGCCATAAATTTTCAAAAGTAGGTCACTGTGACCTACTTTTCAGTTGCTGTACTCCGAGGACCAAAGATACATCGACTGACAAAGTTTGATGATTCTAGCCAATAAGTACCCAAAATATTTGATTACAGCCATAAATTTTCAAAAGTAGGTCAAAGTGACCTACTTTTCAGTCAACCTACTCCGAGGACCAAAGATGCATCAACTGACAAATTTTGACGATTCTAAGCCAAATAATTCCTGAAAATATTAAATACAGCCATAAAATTTCAAAAGTAGGTCACTGTGACCTACTTTTCAGTTGTTGTACTTCGAGGACCCAAGACGCATCAACTGACAAAGTTTAATGATTCTAAGCCAATTAGTACCCGAAATATTTGATTAAAGCCATAAATTTTCAAAAGTAGGTCAAAGTGACCTACTTTTCAGTTGTTGTACTCCGAGGACCCATGACGCATAAACTGACAAAGTTTGATGATTCTAAGCCAATTAGTACCCGAAATATTTAATTAATGCCATAAATTTTCAAAAGTAGGTCACGGTGACCTACTTTTTAGTCGATCTACTCTGAAGACCCAAGATGCATCAACTGACAAAGTTTGATGATTCTAAGCCAATTAGTACCTGAAATATTTAATTAATGCCATAAATTTTCAAAAGTAGGTCACTGTGACCTACTTTTTAGTCGACTTACTCCGAAGACCCAAGATGCATCAACTGACAAAGTTTGATGATTCTAAGCCAATTAGTACCTGAAATATTTAATTATAGTCATATAAATTGAAAAGTAGGTCACGGCGACCTTTGGCTCAGAAGAGCTAATCAATACCACTAATTGTGGCTTTGTTGTTCTTGAGATGAAGATTTTTAGAAGTTTTTATCCTGTATATTCTTATGTAAAACTTTGATCCCCATTGTGGCCCCACCCTTCCCTAAGGGGTCATGATTTGAACAAATTTGAATCTACACTATGTAATGAAGGTTTCAACTTGACTAGCCCAGTGGTTCTTGAGAAGAAGATTTTCAAAAGATGACACCAAATTTTCACCAATTCTTAATTATCCCCCCTTGAAAGAGGGGATGACCCTTCATTTGAACAAACTTGAATCCCCTTCACCCAAATATGCTTTGAGGAAGTTTGGTCGAAATTGGCCCAGTGGTTCTTAAGAAGAAGTTGAAAATGTGAAAAGTTTACAGACAGATGGACACTTGATAAAATGTGATCAGAAAAGCTCAAATGAGCTTTCAGGTGAGCTAAAAAAACTTAATTCAGAGCATGTAATAATTCTAGCATCCTCTGACACAAGTTAAATCTTTATTTGACAAGAGACCCATGGGCCACATCACATCACTCACCTGAGCATGTTGGCTAGGAAAAAGCAGAAATCAGTTTAGTATTGAAAAGTTTAACTATTTAAGTGGTCAGGGGAGGGATGATTTGAACAAAACTAAATCTACACTACCTGAGGATGTTCCATATTTGTTTGACTAATCATGGTTAAATAGATTTTTCGAGAATTTTCCCTATATGATTCATCTTCTATTGTGGCCTTGCCCTACCCCAAGGGATATCATTTGAATACACTTGAATCTATACTACCTGAAGATGCTTCTGAATTAACATGACTAACCAGGGACTTGCTCTTATTGTGAAGAAAATATTTATTGATATATCCTTTATATTCCTTTGTATAACTTTGATCCCCTGTTGTGGCCTCTTTCTACTCCTGGGGGTCATGATTTGAACAAATTTGAACCTACAATACCTGAGAATGCTTCTATATTAAAATGAAGCCTAGAAAAATGTTTGTTTCTGCTTTCAGGCTGAAAAAAATTAGGGTAGGTAGGTAGAAATTTTTTTTTTTGAATTTTCTTTTTTTACTTAATTGCTTCTTCAATCAAAACATCACTAATCACTAATTTAGATATGATCCCATGATGATTTCTGTCAAGATTTTCAGAACTGTTGCATTGAAAACAGCTTTATGGGGGCCTATTTATTACACTCTTTAACTAATTTACGCTTTCCGAAGATGATTTTATGATGGTAAATGAAAATAGAAAGGCCACTGAAACTTCTCTCTGTCTTGAAAAGCTTGCGAAGTTGGAAAATCATCCAAACTACTGTTGCATATGCAGGGCTTGACATTACCTTTTTTCCTACTTGTCCATTTGGACAAGTGACCAAGACATTTACTTGTCCAAACTTCAACTTCACTTGTCCGAAAATTTTTCAATAAAGATACAATACTGTCAACCAGAAAACAAAAAAATAAAGTCCCTTACATGTGCATGATGTTATTTATAAATACAACAAACACATAAAACAAAATTATATCTAGACTTTCTGTCCTGACAACATAAATGCTGTCAACATAAAACAGACTTTGTAAGTTCCATGCCTTTGCAGTAGTATGCAATTAGTGAACTTCGATCCCGATCTAGTGTACTCACTTACATAGCGATCCATATCAGGATAGAAGTTTGTTTTTTATGTACTGTTTCCGTCTTAAAAGTACCGGTAAACTTTCAACAGTCGTTCTTTTAAATATTTAGAGACTTCTTTACATTAAAATGCACTTGTACAATCGGGACAAGTGCCCAGCAATATATTCACTTGTCTCTAATTTTTTTCACTGGTACCGGACAAGTGTTAATGTCGAGCCCTGATATGGGACAAAAGCATTAAAAACAGTAAGGGTTGGCACTATAAATTAGGGTCGGTCAGGAAAGCAGAAAGATTTTCCTACGTGTACCTACGTATACCTGAGGATGATTCCATGTTTCACATTTTCTTACCCAGTGGTTCTTGAGAAGATTTTTAAAAGATGCCATTAATTTTTCACTAATTTATAATTCTCTCTCTTTGGAAGGAGGCGTGGCCCTTGAACTTGAATCCCATCTACCCAAGGATATTTTGTGGAAAGTTTGGTTGAAATTGGCCCAGTGGTCCTTAAGAAGTAAAAAATGTGAAAAGTTCACAGACAGATGGACGACAAACAAAATGTGATCAGAAAAGCTCAATTGAGCCCTTGGCTCAGGTGAGCTAACAATGAAATAATTTGTTCTTTACTCAAATCACACAACCTACCCAAATCTATGTGTACCAGCTCAGCAGAGTTTGTATCAATCAGAATGTTTTGTATGTGTCTGTCTCCCAATCCAAGGATATATCCAACTTGAAAGAAAAATAAACTGTTCATTATGTGGAAGAATTATTGTAAAAATAGATGCAAATGTTTATTTTTTCCATTATTGAACAATCTGATTTCAAAATGCACATGCTTGATACAAATGCATGCAAGTTTATCATGCTTAAAAAAACAAAAACATTTACAATATTCTAATTTACATAAAAATAAACAAGAGGCCCATGGGCCACAATGCTCACCTGAGATACTTTGGCCCTGCTGTTCTTCACAAGACCTCCCCTTTGTAATATTTATTACGGCCCCGCCCTATCCTAGGGGGCCATGCTTTGAACAATTTAGAATCTACCCAAGGATGCTTCCACATAAGTTTCAGCTTTTCTGGCCCCGTGGTTCTTGAGAAGAAGATCTTCAAAGATTTGCCTATGTATGTCAATGAAACCTTTGATTCCCTATTGTGGCCCCACCCTACCCCCGGGGGCCATGCTTTGAACAATTTAGAATCTACACTACCCAAGGATGCTTCCACATAAGTTTCAGCTTTTCTGGCCCAGTGGTTCTTGAGAAGAAGATTTTCAAAGATTTTGCCTATATATTTCAATGTAAAACTTTGATTCCCTATTGTGGCCCCGCCCTACCCACAGGGGCTATGATTTGAACAATTTAGAATCTACACTACCCAAGGATGCTTCCACATAAGTTTCAGCTTTTCTGGCCCTGTGGTTCTTGAGAAGAAGATTTTTTAATGACCCCACCCAATTTTTGTCTTTTCTTGATTATCTCCCCTTGCAAGGGGGTTGGCCCTTCATTTTAACAATTTAAACTCCCCTTCACCCAAGGATGCTCTGTACCAACTTTGGTTAAAATTGGCTCAGTGGTTCTTGAGAAGAAGTTGAAAATGTGAAAAGTTTATAGACGGATGGACAGACAGACAGACAGACAGACAGACAGACAGATGGATGCCGGACAACAGGTGATCAGAAAAGCTCACGTGAGCTTTCAGCTCAGGTGAGCTAAAAACTGACACAAGAGAGGGTCCTACTAAGGACTGTTAACAGAATGTGACAACTGTGCTTAAAAAATATACATTCAGGCATACATACAAACAGACTGACAAAGTGATGTGACTCTTAAATTTACAGTAGCCTTTCTCTTATAGTAAAGTTCTTCTGTGCTTGAAAATGTTCTGTTGGAAACTGTTTGAAATACGGTGCTTAACTGACCCAGTTTCGTATAGAGTCCTGTACCCTTTCAAATGGGAATTTAAATATTTGGAATGACAGATTTTGGCAATATTAAAGACTTATGTTTAACTGTTGAATAAAGAGTTAGATTGTTGACCTATTTCCTATTAATATTTTTATGAATCAATATATTCTCAAAATGCAACTTATTTTTAAATGAAAAGCACAAAAAAAAAAAATCAATTTTCTTGTCATTTGAGACTTTTACTTAAATTTTGGGGAAAAAGACTCAATTTTCATTCAATTGAGACAAAGTTCTTTTACTGGACCTGGATTCAATGGATATTAAGCTCTGAATTATTGTGTCAAAAATTTTAACAAGAGGCCCAAGGGCCTTAACGGTCACCTGAGTATGATAAAACAATTTCAAGGATGCATAGAGTATAAAATGAACTGAAAGGTGAAGCTTTGTTGCCCAAAAGCAAGAAAAATAGGGTGATCATGATCAACAAAATAATTGGTCTTAATATTCATTAACAGTTCATAAATTAGATTCTAATCTGTTCCCCATTTATCACTATCACTATACAGTATATTAACAAATTATCAATGCTTCTGTACTATTTTAATCCCTTGTTGAAATCTCTTACATTGGCATCTCTTGGTCTTTGATGAACATTTAATAAGACAAGTTATTTTTGTCTCATTTTTATTTATCTACTACTTACAAGTCTATCTGATCATTAAAACTATGAAAGTACTTTTTGTATTATACAATAAAAGTTTTTTGCAAAATTCTCTTATTCTATTTACCTTTCAAGTACATTATTTACAGTGATAAATTATCAAAAGTATATGGTAAAGGGGAATAACTCCTCTCAGTAGAATACAAACTAAAAGAGCCCTGGCCAGGACCAGAACACTTGACCAAATGGTCCAGATGTTCAAAAATCTGGTAAAAATTCCCTTCCTTATAAAAACTTTTACTCTGTTTGCCTCAGATATGCCCAGGTGCGGAGAAAATTTTTAAATAAATAATGCATTTTTACTACAGATTCACTATATTATCAATAGAGCCCTCCCCCCCCCCCCCCCAACCCCCCGCCCCCAAAACACCAGAGCTTCTGACCCTGGGACCATATGTTTGCTCATCATCACTTTGTTTATCTGCTTAACACTAAGGAGCAAACAGGATTATTTAAAAGAATTAATGCATTTTCACTAAATTATCAAGAGCCCCACCCTCACACCAGCACATCTGACCCAGGGGTCATGAAATTCACTCCTCTGGAAGAAGCACACTTGCTCATCATTACTATACACTTAGCTTCTTTGCTTTTTTAACCAGAAGAAGAAAAGAATATTTTCAAAGAAATTTTGCTTTTTCACTTAATAATCAATAGAAGCCCCCCCCCCCCTTTCACCAGAACCCTTAAACCTGGGGTCATAAAATCCACAATTTTGGGAAGAGGCATCCTTGTGTATCATAACAATGTACTTTAGCCTGTTTAAGCAATACCCAGGGGCAGAGAAGATTTTCAAAGAAATAATTCACCTTCACTATAGGATCTATATAGCCCCGCCCTAGCACCAGAACTCCTGTCCCCAGGGCCATGAATTTCACAATTTTGGAAGAGGCATCCTTGATTATCATAACAATGTACTTAGTTTGTTTAAATAATACCCAGGTGCAGAGAAAAAGATTTTTAAAGAATTAAAACATTTTCACTTTATAATCAATAGAGCCCCGCCCTAACACCAGAACCCCTGATCCAGGGGCCACGAATTTCACAATTTTGAAAGAGGCATCCTTGATTATCATAACTATGTATTTAATATGTTTCAATAATACCCAGGAGTAGAGAAGAAGATTTTCAAAGGATTAATGCATTTTCACTATATAATCAATAGAGCCCCACCCTAACACCAGAACCCCTGACCCAGGGGCCATAAAATTCACAATTTTGAAAGAGGCACTCTTGCTCATCATAACTATGTACTTAGTTACTGAATTTAATACCCAGAAGCAGAGAAGAAGATTTTCAAAGGATTAATGCATTTTCACTATATAATCAATAGAGCCCCACCCTAACACCAGAACCCCTGACCCAGGGGCCATGAATTTCACAATTTTGGAAGAGGTACTCTTGCTCATCATAACTATGTACTTAGTTACTTTATTAAATATCCAGGAGCAGAGAAGAAAATTTTCAAAGAATTAATGCATTTTCAATATATAATCAATAGAGCCCCGCCCTAACACCAGAACCCCTGACCCTGGGGCCATGAAATTCACAATTTTTGAAAAGGCACTTTTGCTCATCATAATTATGTACTTAGTTACTTTATTTAATACCCAGGAGTAGAGAAGATTTTCAAAGAATTAATGCTTTTTCACTATATAATCAATAGAGCCCCACCCTTACACCAGAACCCCTGACCCTGGGGCCATGAAATTCACAATTTTGGAAGAGGCACTCTTGCTCTTCATAACTATGTACTTAGTTACTTTATTTAATAACCAGGAGCAGAGAAGAAGATTTTCAAAGAAATAATGCACTTTCACTATATAGCCCCACCCTGGGGCCAGAACTCCTGACCCTGGGGCCATGAATTTCACAATTTTGGTAGAGGGCTCAATGCTTATTACAATGATGCCAACAGTTTGACTGCTTGATGTCCAGGAGTAAAGAAGAAGATTTTTAAAGATTGCATTATTTTTGGTGGTTTTAGCCCCACCCTCAGGCCCCAGGGGGGCAGGGACCATGAAATTCACAATTTTTGTTCCCTTTCACCTATAGATGCTATATGCCAAATTTGGTTGAAATTGGTTAAGCGGTTTCAGAGAAGAAGCTAAAAATGTTCAAATGTTAAAGCACGACGCACGCCGACGGACGAGAACGGATAGCAATAGGTCACCTGAGTGACCTGGGTGACCTAAAAATTGAAAAACGAAGGATTTTAATAATAAAACTGTCAATAATTTAGTATTATATCATACCAAAAGATCATTATTAATTAATGAATACTTCTAAGTATGAATAGAAGTGTTTTCGTTACACAACTTGAATCTTTAAAAAAATGTTTTGCACTCCTGACCATAGAAATAAAGATCTGAAGCACAGACAGATCCTGTAATTGATAAATCTATTTGGTAAAAATGTTCTTTGTGTATTTATTTGCCAAAATAAAAATCAGAAAATCATATAATGATAATAGTTTTTTCATGCTTGGGTGCAAAACATCAAATGTTGCACTCCTGACATTATTGGCTATGCACACATACTTGACGCTCATTAATGCTGCTTGTGATTTATATAACATTTTAAAGTTTTAAAATGTATATCAGTTATTGTTTTACACTTCGAAAATTCTTTTTTGTTTTAATTTTCTTTCAGAATTTTACAATTGATGTTTTTTGGCAACACTACATTTTTTCTGTTGCACTCCTGACATGGTATGACATTTTTTTAAACATCAGCCATGACCACAACATGATTAAACAAAAGTTACTACAGTCCACATTTAAAGCTCAATTCTTTGAATATTATCAGGAAAGTCTTTATATATGTTCAACATAAACCATTATTATTTATTTCACAGATCACCAAAAAATATTGAAATTTCAAAATGTCACAAAAAAGTGTTCAACTCCTGACAATTTTAGCATCATTTTTGGGCATAACTTTATTGTTAATTGAGATATCAATGAGATATTTGGCAGGTATTAAGACACTATCTAAAGACATGTGCTGAGACATAGAAATCTATTTTAATTGCCTGTATTTTTAGTGTGGGTTGATATGCATGCGTTTGGTCATTTTTTTTTTAATTCACCCAATATG